CTGGCGCGTTCGTGATCCACGTCAGTTTATGCCTCTCTTTTCTTGACGTGCCGGCTACCCATCCAAGCTTACCTATTTTGAGCCAACTCCCAACTGGATTACTCAACGAGTATGGAGTACGGGTCACGGAGTACGGATACGCCTTTTAAGTATCGACCAAACCATCCTACGAAAGGCATAGATACGCCTGCAACCCTCACAAGCTCTGCCTATACTTAGCTGCTGATGTTGAACGGTGCGACGCAGCTCCTGACTTGCGCGTCCCTTATCAGGGTTTGCCTCACAGTGCATTCGCTCATCATCGTTCAAATCGCGCGCGCACGGCTTTTTACTTGTTATCAGCGTTTCTGCATGCAACACCGGGCAAACAAGCGCATAGCACAATAGGCTGAGCTTACCAAAACGCAGTAATTGCCAGTGCCAGCAGGTTCAAAAACAACACCGACGCGGCATCTCGAGCCGTCATTTCGGCTCTGGGTGGGGGTGGTCAATCCCAGTCACACCTCCAGCGACGATCACTCACCTCTTTCAAGGGTAAACACCTCCGTTCAAATCAGAAAGAAACAGGGAAACAAAGACTCCCCTCTTGATCCGGGACCTCCCAGCTTCGCATCATGCGGTCGCCGCGTCGCACCTGTCTCCTTTTACGGGGGATCCATGCAGCGACTACGGAGGGCCGGGTTAAGGGGCCGGTGAAAAAAAGAGATGCGGCAGTTGTCCGGCTCAGCGCATCGCATCTGGTATCCTTTCCCGCCGGCACCGATAATCGAGGGGGATCTGAGTCGCATGTCATCGCGATGCATGCAGTGCCAGTCCCGTTCCTTTGGAATTTGAGCCAGGCGTCTGCCATGGCCATTGCGAATCGGTTCTTGTCCGGTTCTATCGTGCGAGAGTTGCCCTCATCGGGCTTCTGGCCGGTGCTGACGCCAAGGTAAGAAAAGAGGGGGGGGCCTCATCCCCCTTTTGCAAGACAGTCCCTGATTCCACCAACGTTCCAATGTCCCCGCCGGGCTCTTCTATTTGAAGAGAGACAGAAGCATTCCGTCTGAGAGTCTATATATGCATGTTTCCGGAGAAACAAGCATAGACGTATGTCTTGTCTCACGTGTCACTCGGCAAAGACAGTGTCACCTCATCCGAGTGCGAGAACAATGAAGCCACCCAAGTTGTCATACAACGTCGTCGAATTCCCCTCGACCCAAGACTCAGGGGTAAAGCGGCTCTAAACTGGCTAGACCAGCCGCTCATGATGAGGATGAGAAAAAGTCAATCCGGTTGCTGTGCTTGGCGAACCAGTCGCGAAGCCCAAATCACAATTGGCATCGCCCCCAGTCGAGTAATCAAGCTAATCTCGATGGATCCTTCAAAGCTTGGTCATTGGCCGAGAAATCTTGATCGGCCCCGTCGTCTTGGTCTGCTTGAGATTCACTGCCAATCACAATGCGCAGTGTTCGACCGCTATCACTCTCAGTCTGCAGCACTCGTATAATTGGCGTATAATCGGCTATTGTGCCGCTGTGCAGATGCGTTCATAAAATTGTGATTCTCTGCACAATCTCATTTCTTATCAACTACTCCGTGCCTCCATTGTGTAGATTTGCCTATCCGTACATCGATAATCGTATCTGTACGATACAGGATACTGACTCCTGAGAGCAGGAGCCTCCACTCGGTATCTCTGACCGACGGCATCAATTTCGAGCCCTGCAACGCCACCATGAGCTTGCGGTAGACCGTTGACAATGCCCTACGGTTGCACTCGGCCCGCCCTATCAAAGACAGTGGTAGCGATTCGGCCCTGCTTCAGGTTCTCATATTTCTACTACATCTGCCGCAGCCCACGGTCAAGTCTTGATTCGTGTGAGTTGGACCAATGCCCTCAACTTTGTACGAATACGGGCACTCTACTATGTATCCGTCTTCTGTACGGAGTACGGATATTGGCAATGGTCGAAAGTTTCCAACACCAAGAAAAGTCTGAAAGTTGCAATAGCCTCATGTTTCCCCCCTGTGAGGCTCTGCCAACGTGGCATAACTCAGAGCCCTGCTGCAAAGAACACAGCACCTCAGATTCTTCGCTTCTTCGAGGCTTCAACTGCCCAGCCTCATCGAAGCCCCCCCGCCGCCCTAATCTCGTCTCATGTCGCCCTCGTACCACAATAACAAGGACCCCTTCCTCCTTCTGCTGCCTCCCAACTTTACATCCCATCCAGTTTCCGTAATTCCAGTGTCGTCCTGTATCCCAGTATCCATCCGTAGGCTGTTCCTCAACTTCCTCCTTTTTTTGTTCTTCACCGCGTTTCAGCTTCAGCCTCGTCGTGTGCCCGCCGCGCCGAATTGTCCGACAGCTGATAGAATTCCGGCGCGTACTCCATTAGCCAAGTCTTTTCGATTTTAGTCATGTCCCGTATGAAGATCTTGTTGGCCGTCTCCATGACATCGTGGAAAATGACCCAGTCGGCCTTGCGGTTGAACATGAGGGAGCTGGGGTGCGCGTGGAGCGTCGTCTCGCCCGAGACGTTGCGGAACGTGCCGTCCGGCTGCATCCTCGCCGCGTGCGCAAAGTAGCCCGTCGTCAGGCACCGCCGGATCTGCTCCGCCTTTGTGGAGTTGTCTTGCTGATGTTGTTGTTGTCGTGAGCCCGGGCCGGAGGGTCCGTTGTCGACGGCGATGCCGAATTTTTCAAGGTACCGCTTCAGCTGCGCCCGTATGCTGACGGCCCGCGTCATGGTCTTGAAGTTGAGGTTGTTGTCCCGACAGAACTTGGACTCCTTTTTGCCCTTTGTCACAAAGGCCTGGTAGGCGTTGAGCAGCGTCAGGTGGTCGCCCTCGTCGGCGGCGAACTTGCGCCGCGACAGCTCCATCTGCTTCCTCTCGCCGTCGTGGTGGAACCAGACGTTGTTCCCACCGGCGCTCGTCATGGCCGCGATGGTGAGCATCTCGCTCAGGCACCCGAACGACTGCGCGCCGAGCAGCGTCTTGGCCATCATTGGCTCGACGGCCAGCTCGGCCATGCGGTAGCCCAGCGGCTTCGTCAGCTTGGCGTAGTCGTCGAGGGCGCCTAGGGAGTAGAGGAGCTCCAGGGCTTTCGCCATGAGCTCCGCGGGCGGCGGGCTGAGGAAGTTGAAGCGGAGGACGTTGTCGATGCCGAGGGCCTTGAGCTGCAGGATAAAGGGCGCCAGGTTGGAGCGCTGCATCTCGGGGACGGTGACCTCGGGGAGGGCGAGGTATGCGTCTTCCGTGTAGAGGCGGAAGCACTTGCCGGGCCGAGTGCGTCCCGCGCGGCCGGCGCGCTGAGACGCCGAGGCCTTGGAGATGGCGGTCGAGGTGAGGGTTTCGATGCCCGTACGCGGGTTGTAGGCGCGCAGCTTGGCGAAGCCCGAGTCGAGTACGTAGACGATGCCGTCGATGGTGATGGAGGCCTCGGCGATGTTGGTCGCGAAGACGACTTTCCGCGTGCCATCGGGAGGCTTGTCAAAGACGTACATTTGCTGTTCTGTTGAGAGGCCCGCGTACAGGGGCAGCGCTTGTAGTGTTTGCTGGCCCTTTGGTTGGTTCGGGTCCAGCAGGCGGTCGGCGACGGCCTGAATGGCGTTGTCGATTTCTTCACGGCCTGTGAGGAAGACAAGTATGTCGCCTTCGGACTCTGTTGTGTGTATGTCGAAGACGGTGGAGATTGCCTTTTCGACGTAGTCCTCGGTTGGTGATTCTAGGTAAAGGACGTCGACGTGATGTGCTCTGCCCTCCAAGCTAATGATCGCACCCTTTTTGTCGTCGTTGTCGGCACCGTGATAGCCATCCTTGTTCTCGGGGGCGTTGACCGTCTTCTTCTGCTCGTCTCCTGGAGAAGTTGTAAAGAATTTCAGAAACTCCTCGGCCTGGAGCGTTGCACTACTGATGATGATGCGTAACTCGGGTCTTTTCTTGAGAATCTTCTTGAGCAGTCCCAGGAGGATATCGGTGCTGATGGAGCGCTCGTGAGCTTCATCAACCATGATAACAGAGTACCGTGTCAACAGGGGGTCGACAAGTGCCTCCCGGATAAGTAGACCGTCCGTCATGAACTTGATGCGCGTCTGCGCCGAAGTAAGGTCCTCGAACCGGATAGCGTAGCCGACTTGCTGGCCAATCTCACAGCCAACCTCCTCGGCGACGCGGAGTGCGACCGTTGTCGCCGCCACGCGGCGCGGCTGCGTGATGCCGATGACCTTGCCGTCTGCGCACCATCCCGCGGCTTCGAGGAATTGGGGGATCTGCGTGGTCTTGCCGGAGCCGGTCTGGCCGACAACGATGGTTACTTGCTTGGTCTCGATGAGGTACAGCAGGGCCTCACGATGCTTTGCGATGGGGAGGAGGGTTGATGGCTTGTGTAGAGCCGGAATGAAGGCCGAGTTGAGATCGAAGTCTGCCATGGTTTGACGAGAACCGTTTGGCTGTTGACTTGAAACTGTAAATATGTTAGAAATGAGGGATGTTTACTCAATTTGGTGATGATACCTTCAGGCACTGGCAACTGACCTTACATCTATCATCAAAATGAGGGAACTCGTGCAAGTCAACAGGTCCGTCACCTTATATATCTCATCTTGACTGACAGCTTCTCTTGTAAGTGTGGTTTGGCGTCACAATTGGCCTCGTTTGTCATTCGTCGTCGACATTGGGGGTTGCAATTTGAGCTGGGTAAAGTGTCACCAGCTGGACGCAAGTGGTGATATCTGGTCCCCCCCCCCACTTACTATTCTAGGACCTTCAGTGACAACTAGCTGACATAATACCATGCCTCTAATAAATCGAAATTGGCTGTTTTATCACTCTTACGCTACGATAACTACTGCATCAATGCTCCTTGACATGACTTCTGAATAAAAAAGATTGAGTGAAGCTGAGATAGCCAAAAGAGCAGCAGCAGCAGTAATTACGACGATAGAAGGAAGCTATCAGCATTACGGATACTTGAGCAGTACAGAGTGACGGTAAGTGTGGCGGCAGGATTGTGGCTTAGCATTAAGCTCAAGCTGGCGAGGTTCCCAGTTCCCCAAAGGAGGCGCGGCGTCATCAGCTTCGTAACCCACTTTAATGTCATCTCGCCAGCTGCTCTCCAGTCTCCAACCCCTCCGTCCGGGCGCGCGCATTCCGCAACGTCCTTGCACGTAACAATCTCGCGAAAGCAAGCAAATTACCCCCTCCTCCATCCTCGAGCGACTTTGCTTGCCAGCTACTCCTATTATTCTGCTGGGGACCTTCATCTTGCACCAAAACGATCCCTCTCCCAAGGAGAGAAGAAGTACAGGAGAGCGACCGAACAGTAGTCATGTCTGCCCCCATCGAAACAGTGCGCATATATCCCGTCCCCCGAAACAAGCCCAAACTTCATGCGGGTGTACCCTGTCGACCTATCCAGAAAACTGACACCTCATCTCTTTTTCCTAGAACAAGCTTACTTCCTCGAGCGGGCCCGAGTCGCCTACAACAGTCCGACCCTTGGATCTATCCGACGACGAAGACGTCCAGGAAACAGGTGTTCTCGGCGGTGAGGCTCCCACTACATCCCAGGCTACTACCACCAACTCCAACACCACCTCGTCCAATATGACCTCCTCGACACCCGCCGCCGCTGCCGAAGCGGCCCCACCAAAGCCCCCGAGGCCCTCCGGCGAGACGCAGAAGACGGAGGACATCTTAAAGGAGGCTTTCCCCAGCATCGACATCTCCGTCATCAAGGCGGTCCTGAGAGCCAGCGGCGGAAAGATTGATCCGGCGTTCAACGCCCTACTGGGTACGTGTCGCGTGACCCATCACTTGCTCACCCCCCACCCTCAAGCTCTATACTGACGAGCCCCAATATAGAAATGACCGACCCCGATGCGGCCCAGGGCGAGACCACCGACGAACGACCCCCTCCCCAGCCTCCCCGCCCCCAGGGTGGCGGACCGCAGCTATCTCAGCTTGAGGCTGACGAGCTCTACGCGCGACAGCTGGCGGAACATTTTGACAATGTCGGCAGCTACGAGGCTAGAACGTCCAACCGGAGCCCCGGCGGCGGCGGCGGTGGCCGTGTGAGAAGGCAGCAGACCGGCCTCGAGCCCAGACCGAACTCCGAGGACCGCGAACCCAACTTCTTCGACGACGAGTTGCCGGTGATTCAGGAGAAGCTCCGAAAGGGGTTCGTGGAGACGCAGGGCAAGGTCAACAGCTGGATTACCACAATGAAGAAGAGGTTCGACGAGGAGTTTGCCGACGAGGACGAATCCAGCCAACAGCGACCGGGCCAAGGTCAGGGTCAGGGCCAGTACGGCGCCCGACGACCCGGCGAGTCGAGCCGTCGGAGCGGCGATTACGAGAGATACGACGCCGATCCCCAGGTGCTCAGCGACGACTTTGCGGGTATGAAGTTCACCGCCGACGGAAGTAAGTCCCGATGCCCCCTTTTCCCCCACTGCCACTAGCCCGCACGATGCTAACAAACGAAAACCAGCCCCTCTCCGCGATAGTAACAGACCTCTGTCAAACCCTGACCTCTACAAACCCCCTCCACCCTCAAAGTCGCCCAAGCCCCACGACGGCCGTCACGTGGCCTTCAGAGAAGGCGCCGAGGAGATTGACGTGTACGGCTCGTCGCCCAGACGCTCCGCCGAGGACCTGTCAGGTGCAAAGGCCAAGGCCAGCAAGTGGCAGCCCCTATCGACGGTCGACCCGAACCCCATCAGCGACAACGACCCCTTCAGCCTAGGCGACAGCGAAGATGAGCGGGAGGCAAAGGAGAAGGCCGCGTCCACCAGCAAGGATACTACTGCCAAGGACGCCGGCGCCAGCTCAGAGGACAGCGAGAGGCTCAAGAAGGCTGCTGCCGAGGCCATGGCGGATAGTCTCGTCGAGTCCAAGAGCGGCGAGGCGGCTGGCGCTGAGACCAAGAAGAACTGAAGATCTAAATATCAAGAGCGAGGCTTGGACTGTGGTGGTCTGAGGAGGGAAGGCGGCTTTTGCGTTGATACAGTACTTTCATTTTCAGATATCCAAAATCTCCCACTCCCATGGCTTGAGCCACAGGTGAAGACAGCCTGGAAAACAGGGGGGGTCTCGGGAGGCATGGCGAACCTGGGATTTTATGATTCCCCTTTCCATTTCACTAAGAAACGTACCTTTAGTTAGGACATCTAAATTGAGAGTATCCCGCAATGTTATTACTGTTGTTCATGTTTCTCCCTCGTTATCGAAGAAATCCAAAATTGGATTTCATGTTGTCGCTTAGGAACCAGGCCGGTTTGCCGACTTGGCGGTGGTGTGAGTTGGAACTTGGGATACATAGAAACAGGAAGGTCACGCGGATCTTGCATACAAAGAGGCGTGGTGGTGATGATGTACGGGCTAGAAGACACCGAGGCATACGAAGCATACCGGGATAGACCACCCGCAAAGGACCCTTGTTTGGTCGATCGGCCTCTGACGTATTTGTACGTCGTGATGATGGCTGTCGTTCATGATGCGGCAAGCAGCGGATGCGAATGGGGGCCGCGGCCTTTTCCCGCATGGCCACTTGCCAGGTTACCTAGATTCAGGGTGGTCCGCGGATGCAAACATGTCAAGGTAAGGTAGCATGCAGCTTGATATGCCCCGCCTTGCCGCTGTTCCATTCCCGAACAGCCGCATCTTGATATCACCGCTCCGTGGCGGTAGAAAGGCTCAGTCGAATTGCGAGGAGCGTCCTTCGACTGCTGGTTCTGGCTTATAGGCGAGATTCTCCAGAAACGCCCCATGCCCTAGTTGACAGTTTCCGTGCTCCACGATGACCACCGGAATTTCATCCCCGTCCTCGGGCTTTGATGGGCTCCATGGTGGTCTACCGCTGATTGGCTCCTATATCCGACCAGAAAACAAGCATTTTGATTCGCAAGGATTGACAACATAAGTTGAGAAACCCGTCAATAATAGCGGACTGGAAATGGATCGTGCCACCTGCTTTTTGGGTCTACAACGGCTGGTGAAGCGAAGCGAAAGAGCGAGAAATGGCCGGCCCAAATTGGATGCCCCTCGCGGTTTGAATTGCCCCGCACTACATTCATTGGACGGGGAAGTATTGGTGTGCTTTTTCTGCCCACCACTCCGGCTGGTTCCGTATGGATGCAGGTTGCTGGAGCTGCTGCTGCAAGTCTGGGCATGAAACATTCCAAGCGGTTAGAGCTGAGAGGCCCTTTTTTTCTTAGCCATAGCGATTTGGTGAAAGCCAAAAAAACAAAAAAATAAAAAATGGTTGGAGTCGGTCGTTCGGAACGTTATCTGTCGCATTCAAGCAGCACCTCTCAACGGGACATCTCGGTGAAATTGGAAGTCCATTGGGCCGTACAGAGCTCCGCCAGAATGACCCTTGACGCCGAGTAGAGCTGGAAACTGAATGGCAGATGGAAAATCTCGGATCCATCCAGCCTGAGAATGAACCTAAGCCCGAGAACCAACACAGGTGAAGAGGGAATTGAGGTTTCGTCTCGGAGAAATATCAGGGTAGACATTTTCCAACGGCTCGACGCCCGAGTTTTTAGCAGTGTGCGTGTGCTGTGAGGAAGCCTCTCAGCCTTGTCCTTGGCACGTCGAGAGGAAAACGTGGTTCGTGTGCGAGCCATCATTGGCTGGCGATCTGAAGACTTGGCTATGGGGAGAGCGAATCAAGCGCATGTGTGGGTGGGAGGGGGACTCCACGGGTGTTCCTTGAGGGTATGTACATATTGTTTGGTACATATTGTCAACGTACTGCTGCCGTGGCCCATCGAGGTACTGCTCGGTGACGACTGCGGCTATTGAAAAGTAGATAAAATGTTGTTAAATGGGGGGAAGTCTACCGTCTGGCACGAGAGACATGGAAGTTCAAAATCTCAGACCCCTCTTGGATCCACGCAGAAGCCATGAGAGACGGCACACGTGCTCGGTTTCTGTGATATTATACACTACCAGACGCAATGCGTTGTTGAACTGCCAGAAAGCGGGTACATCTGACGGTTCAGGCCGTCCGACTATTTCCTCGTTTCCGAGATGGCGCGAGAACTTGCCCGAGTAGGTAGGTACAAGCAGAAGATGGTCGCTTTGATGTTAACCCGGACAGACAAGGTCGGAAGACGGTAGAGGCGCAGGATACGATAGGTCTGATAGGTAGGTGATCGGTTGTAGGCGAGATGTCCTTTTAAGGGATCCCATCGTAGGTTGATGTTGGGAGACTCTCCAAGTAGGGCGAAATGGCAGGGCACTGGGCAAAAAACAGTCAGAGAGCCACACTTGATTCGCGTTGAGTTTATCGAGTCTTACCCATCTGAGTGGATGAATGCTCGCAGCTCTTGCAGTTCTTAGGTGCATTGCAGTTCTTGCAGGTGCAACGTCGTCTTCAGTGCGCATGTACTTCGTACGCAAGGGTGGCAGGAGTGACATGAGAAAAGGTACCCCGCACCTCACAGCTAGACAGGGGAGGGGCTGATGGATGCTCTTGCACTCTTGCTCTCTTGTACGCAGCATGGGCAAGAAAGACCAGACCCAACTTCCTTCCCAAGCACGCCCCCAGGGCCGGCAGGTGGATCCACCCGCTGGACCGTCGCTGGTACCCCTCGGCCCTGCCATTGGACAGACCGATACCATGGTTGGCCAAGACCCCGGCCGGCACCCATTTGCATTTCACGACTTTGACTGCCAACTGCCTCTGCCACTACGGCCTGCCCTGCTGGCCCATCGTCTTGAGAGAGAGAGAGAGAACCTACCTAAGTGAGGAAAGGTAGATACACACAGTACCTCCTGATCTGGACCTCTTCTGCCTTAAGTTCCTAGAGTCGCATCTCACCTCTCACTCATCACCCCCATATCCGAAATCTAGATCTAGGTTGCCGTCATTCTTACCGCCGCCGCCCTGCAAACTTCGACATACCGATGAGGTAGAGTTGCAGAACCATACAACTCATCCATCTGGCCAGCTCCCGGTTTGCCTAATTCGACTTCACTCTCAAACGACACCAAGACCGACGCATATGCCACGGCTGCAACTTACTGCAGCTTAAGACATCATTGTCCTCACCCGAAAGAGCCTAGATTGAAGCAATCACCTCTTGAACCTACTATCTTGACCGGTAAGCATGAATGTCTCCCAACAATCAATCCCGTGATCTGCTCCGATTCGGCACAAGTCTGTTTGCTGTTACCATTGCCTTCATTTTCACCACACTCCAACCCACGTCGCCTTTTCTTCTCACCCTCCACCCATGCTTCACTGCTTCTTTTGCATAATCCCTATCACCACGGTCAACGGCGCATTCCTTTCCTCTTATTCCCCAGTCAAAGCGAGAAACGGAGCCAGTACCCTGGACGAGACAGCGTTCTGATCCCCGGCCGCGCCTCGTTTTCCTAACCTCACCCCCCGTTCAACCCGTTCCTAGATCTGGTCCTGGCTCAGGCCTTGCTTTCCTGATCGAAGACAAAAAAAAAACGGGTGCGCCAACCTACACTGGCGCTGACATGGTATATTGTCATCCACTGGCAGCCAGTACCTGCAACCATTCACCGTTCTCTCTGCCCCCACGCATTGTCTAGCATCAATAACTATTACCTACTCGTGGCACCTATTCAGAGCAAATGCCTGACCATGTCCATGTTCTGAGAGCCGCGTGCGTTGTTGCCCCTCTTTCTTCAGAGCCTAGTTGTCACCGAGGCATGCCCGGGATAGCTTCAGAACCCCCCCACCTACAACATTACCCATCTTGCTTGCTATACACTAGTTTCTTTACGGGTGCTGCTTTTAGATCCCTCCTCCTTCGGCGTGCTCAATTTTCAGCCATAGGTACTTGTTGACTCTACTGGCCCAGCGGTCACCTTCTCGTACGAGGGATATCTCCCGATCGTCGTCCCCTTTAGTCAAGACATTCAAATTCTAACTCAAGCAACAGCTTTGAATCCTTCCATCAACTTGGATATATTCTGGGCTTTATCACTATTCTGTCTACGTTACGCGGGAGGATTCTATTTCGCCGATCGCCAGAAAGGGCCTTGAATTCCTCAGCTCCTCATCCTATCAGCTTGCGCCACTGAAGACCCCCCCACGTGCGGTTCTCTACATCAACTCGTAATTCTTCTAGACAACTTTGTTACTAGGCGACGTCACTCAGCATACCCTTGTGCCGGTGACTACTTTGCTTCACTGCCGCCGACGCATATTCACGTCGGCAGAGCCTCCTGCTGTCAACAGCTTTCTCCCTGCTGACATCCACTGTCAGCTTGCTGGTATTGGAGGGCACACATACTGCTGTCTCTTACAACGTTAATCTTTGGACGCCGCCGTGATCTCACGGGCGTCCGTCCACCATGTCAGTCTCGTTGCCCTAACACTATTATCCTCTAATTTGTTCTTACTGGCGAACTTGGGCTGATATCCCAGCAGGAAGTTCGGCAAGCAGATTCAGAAGCGTCAGCTTGAAGTTCCAGAGTATGCCGCTAGTTTTGTCAACTACAAGGCTCTCAAAAAGGTACGTCGCGTGGTTCAGCAATTTCATCTTCAGTCTCTATCCCCCTTTTGTTACCCCATTTCCTCGCTTCTCTTCTGCATTGGGAGGAAGCTTGGTATGCAAACCACAAAAAGGGAAAAAATACCCTCCAGGATTTGGTCGCCTCGTTACCCGACACTGTTCCGTCAGGGGCAGGTGAATGGAGCAAGCCCCCATGACAATAGCTAATCATATCCGGCGTAACCACTGACATTCGCTACTAGCTGATCAAGAAATTGTCGGCTACGCCCACACTGAGCGCACAACATGACCCTCTCCGCTCCGCAATATCCATAGACTCCCAGGCTGCCCTTCAGGCCAACAAGGCCACATTCTTCTTCCAATTGGTATGTATCCAGCCATGGGTCAGTGCGATGAACTTCCCACCGTACTTACTGACTCTCGAACAGGAACGAGAGCTCGAAAAAGTCAATGCCTTTTACCTACAAAAGGAGGCAGAGGTATGTGATTGTTTCTCTTGTTTAATGTGATGACTTTACCCTGTCAGACCTGACCCCCGCCTAGCTCAAGGTAAGACTGAAGACCCTTCTCGACAAGAAGAAGGTGTTGCAGTCTCGCAATGGTGTTTCCAGGCGTTCAGCCAAGTTCACAACTCTCGAAGAGGGGTTTCAACAGTTTGCCAGCGATTTGAACAAGCTGCAGCAGTTTGTTGAGATCAACGGAACCGCCTTCTCCAAAATCCTCAAAAAGTGGGACAAGACATCAAAGTCGAAGACCAAAGAGCTCTATCTATCCAGAGCAGTTGAGGTCCAGCCCTTCTTC